TTTGGGGTGCAGGAGGGTGCTCTGAGCTGGGACCGAGGGGTTCAGAGGGAGGGAGGCGGATCAGGGCTGGGGCAGGGGGTTGGGGTGTGGGAGGGGGTCAGGGGTGCAGGCTCTGGGCAGCGCTTACCTTAAGCAGGTCCCAGAAGCAGCGGCATGTCCCGCCTCTGTCTTCTACGCAGAGACACGGCCATGTGACTCTGCGCGCTGCCCTGTCTGTAGGCGCTGCCCCTGCGGCTCCCACTGGCCACACTTACCAGAGCCCCCTGGCTTCCCCATATGCATAGGAGCCGGAGTGGGGACATGCCGGCTGCTTCCCAGGAGCTGTGTGGCACAGAGGCTAGCAGGGAGCCTGCCAGCCCCGCTGTGCAGCGCCACCAATAGGACAGTCAACAGCCCAATCAGCGGTGCTGACCAGAGCCACCGGGATCCCTTTTCGACTGGGTGTTCCAGTCAAAAACCGGACACCTGGTCACCCTACTGCTCTCCCCAGTTTAGCAGACCTTGATAGTACTACCCAGAGTGGTATTTGTACTAGCTGGATAAATATTTAATGCCTACTATATAGCAACAACTCTGGGCAGTGTCCTGGGCAGTGAACTTGTAATCGTCTGGTTTAACACATTACCTGACTTTGGTTTATAGCCTCTGGTTCAGGCCTCAGGTCTTGCCCTAGGCCCCATGTTCCAGGCTCTCTCTCTACTACAGTTATTGAAACTCGTTGTAGTTTGAATATGAAAATAAATGAAGAGATTCCCCAGTTGTTCTTCCCTCCTGTCTGCAGTACACATACCCTGGAATATCATGTTTATCAGAGAGGAAGTTTGGGCGGGGGGAGCTCTTACTAAAGTGTTAACAGCACATTACTTCACTAGATAGTCCCGCTGCTTTGGAATTTATGGTTTCTGCGGCAACAAGGATTTGAAACAGCAGTAACCAAAGTTCGACCAACCAAAGGCCACGTTAGTGATTTGTATTAAATAAATCTGAATGCGGTGCCTAGTTTGCAGGAACTGGAGCAGGTTGCAGCTGCCCTCATCTGTAATACAATGGTGCAGCCTGAAAAAAACTACAAGTTCCAGCATGCATTGCTCTGCTTCAGTCAAAGCCACTTAAATGAGATTCCCTGCATCATATTGTCTACTGAGACCAGTAGTTTTCAGGAAGAGGGTGGTGGTCATGGTACTTCTTCACACTGAAGAGGAGAGGCGAACGGCAGCTCTGGTTCTTGTTGTAGAACTCACTGGGCCATACGTTGGCTTCTCTGCTACTTCAGTAAATTTACTGTCAGCCATTTATTCCAAGTATTCAAATAAACACAATACTGGCGAATAGAAGGGCTGGTGCATTGGGAGAACCCAGCTTAAAGGGACATATCAACTTGAAATCTAGTCAGTTTCAGCAAATAAGTTTAGATTATTTTTAGACACTTCATTGGTTTTACAATCACAATGTCTTACCCTTACAAACAGGAAGAGTGATTGTCTATATCAGCAGGTTCTCAAACTTTAGCAACCCGAGGACCCCCATTTTAAGATAAATTTTTCGTGGACCCCCAAGACCCCCGCTCAGCCCCAGGCCCTGCCCCCTCTCCACCCCTTCCCCCAAATCCCCACCCCCGCCCCACCTCTTCCCACCCCCACTCCTCCCTGGCCCTCCTCTTCGCCGCCTCTTTCCGTCCCCGAGCACCCCATCCCCGCTTCTCCCCCTCCCTCCCAACACCTCCTGCACGCCGCTGAACAGCTGTTCCCCGGCATGCTGGAGGCACTGGGAGGGAGAAGGAGGGGTTGATCAGCAGGGCTAGTGGCCCTGGATATGATTCCACCCCCTCCCATGAGCACACCCTGTCCCCGCTCCTCCCCCTCCCTCCCAGTGCCTTCTGCACGCCACCCGCTGAAGAGCTATTCCCCGGCATGCTGGAGGTGCTGGGAGGGAGGAAGGGGGTGGAGTTGATCAGCGGGGATCTAGACTGCCTTCGCAGACGCCCATTTGAGAAACGCTGGTCTATATTCCAAGTGCTGTCAAATGCACAAAATCAACTGAAAAGAGAGAGAGAGTGGTTTTTCCCTATTGCTTTGAGTTGTAGTAATCTTAGGTGGTGTTTGTCATAAAACTCGGTAAAAAACTGTCAGATAGAAGCGTGATTTTAAGTTGGCTGTATCCCTTTAAGGGATGGCAGTCACAGCTCAGAACCTTATGCAAAGTGGCGATTCCACACGTCTTTCCGGAATCAAGTGCCTCTCTACCTAATGACATTTTGTCCTGCTTACACTCCAAATGCAGTTGGAAATAGGCATGACTTTGTTCAGATTCATGTTTTTCAAACCTTGCCCTCACTGAGAACTATGCCCAATGCCAAGTTTCAGCTTTCAAGCTGCTGTCATTTTTAACACAGCTCTGTACAAAAGAAGTGTGGCTAGAATTGTTTTAATCTTCGGAACTCAAAAACAGCAGGAGGGGTTGCTCAAATTTTCAAAAACAGATTCACCTTCAGAAAGACCCAGCATAGAAATTTTAATCCTAACCAATGAATTTTTTAAAAACGTACATATTGTATGTGAACACAGGGCTCGAATTGAAACCGATCAAGAGCCTCCACTCTAGAACTCACCTCTGTGCAAAGTTATGGTGATACAATAGTTTTATCATGGACAGTTTAGGGAGAGTCCTGAGCTGGTCAGGCTAGAAGGGTCACATATAATCAGAGAAGTGATGAGTTATGAGACTTGTTTTACCCTAAAAATATTATTTATTATTCCAATTTGATGCTAATAATTTCAAAACATATAACAGCAGCAGGAGGCTTTGGAAAAGGGCTTTATATGTTTCTATATCGGGGTCGGCAACCTTCGGCACGCGGCCCATCAGGGTAAGCTACTGGCGGGCCACGTTGACTGTCCGCAGGCACGGCCTCCCACAGCTCCCAGTGGCTGCGGTTCACCATCTCCAGCCAATGGGAGCTGCCGGAAGCGGTGGCCAGCATGTCCCTGGCCATTGGGAGCTGCGGGGGGCCGTGCC